ATGGCTGAGACCCTGGCCGGCGCGATGCCTCCAGTCCCTCGCCAGGTCGGGTGTGGTCAGGTCACGGCCTCCTACGCGGAGTTCTTCACCTCGCTCCCGCAGAGCCACACGCCGCCCGCGCAGTACGCCCACACGTACCCGCAGCATCACCAGTCGCACCACCCCCAACAGCAGCAGCAGCAACACGCGCCCCAGCAGGAGGTGAGGGCAGGAGGCGCCGCTGCCGCAGACTTCGGCCACAGCAGCAGCCCCCCCAGCGGCGTCTCCGTCGGCAGCTGCCTGAGCCAGCTGGGGCAGGTGGTGAGCAGGTCGAGCCAGCTGGTAGACTACGGCGCCGCCTTCACGCCGGTGGTGACCGCCAACCTCCCTCCAGGAGGAGCCAGCGGTGTGAGCTCCAGCACCACCTCCAGCACCTCCACAGCGACCAGCAAGGGCGTCGCCATGCAGCAGGGCGCCTACTGCGAGGAGGAGGAGTTGCCGTCCTGCGCCTACGCCCACCCGCACCTGCACAGCCTGCCCTACCTCATGCACGGTGAGTCCTCGGCGCGGGGCCTCAGGCCGCCCTTCTTCTTCTTCGTCTTCTTCTTCTTCTTCTGTGTTTCTACTTCTTCTTTCTTCTTCTTTGTTTTCTTCTTCTTTCTTCTTCTTCTTCTTCTTCATCATCTTCTTCTTCTTCATCTTCTTCTTCTTCTGTGCTTCTACTTCTTCTTTCTTCTTCTTTGTGTTCTTCTTCTTTCTTCTTCTTCTTCTTCTGTGTTTCTTCTTCTTCTTTGTGTTCTTCTTCTTTCTTCTTCTTCTTCTTCTTCTGTGTTTCTTCTTCTTCTTTCGTCTTCTCCTTCTTCTTCTTCTTCTTCTTGTTTTCCGCTCCTCCTTCCTCCATTTTATGTTCTTGCGTCTCCTCAGCTCCGCTTGTCTTCCTCTCTTCTTTTTCGTTAATTCTCTGTTCTCCTTGCATTTTCTTCGTTATAATTCTGTTTTTCATGCTTCTCTTCCAGCATCTTCGTTATTCTTGTGTCTTTTACGTTCCCCTTTCGTTACCTTTGTGTCTTTCACGCCTCTCTTTCTTTGATTATGTCATGTTTGCATATACTTCGTTATTCTTTTCTCTTGCATGTTCCCTTTCGTTAATTTTTATTTTGTAATTCTATCTCCTTTGTTATTCTTACTTTTTCCTTGGTCCTCTTTCAGTTATTTTGTGTTATCGCATCCCATTCGTTATTCGTTATTATTTTTGCCTTTTTTTCTTTCGTTAATCTTGTGTCTTGTCTTCCATTTCCTATGTTATTCTTATGCCTTCTATTCTCCTCTTTCATTTCTTTTGTATCTTTCTTGCATCTCTTTTGTTATTCATGCTCTCTTATGTATCACTTTCGTTAATCTTTGTCCATGCATCTTCTTCGTTATTCTTGTTTTTCCCATGCTCCTTTTTCGTTAAATCGGCATCCTTTCCAATACTCATACACGTATATATACATATCTATCTGTCTATCTGTCCGTCTATCGATCTATTTTATCTATCCATTCGTCTATCTATCTATCTGTCCATCTATCTATCTAATAAGCTATCTATCTATCTATCTATCTATATGTGTGTGTGTGCGCGCGCGTGTGTGTGTGTGTGTGTGTGTGTGTGTGTGTGTGTGTGTGTGTGTGTTTGTGTGTTTGTGTGTTTATGTGTGTGTGTGTGTGTGTGTGTGTGTGTGTGTGTGTGTGTGTGTGTGTGTTTATGTATGTGTATGTGGAAGCACACATACACAAGTCCTTTTACCCCCCCCCCCTCCTTTTCTCCACCCTACCTGTCACTTATCTTTTTATCTTTTACTTAATACTTCTGATAATCATTTGCAAGTGTCATATCAATCGAAGCGACCGAGATTCAGTTTCTAATGATGATAATAATGATAATTGCAGAAAAGGTATGAATGAGAATGAATATCCTCAAAATTTAGTCTCAGTCTCATAACTTTTCTACATTTGTCATGCATCGATAATGATAATGATAGAGATAATGGGGATGATGATAAAGATGGTAATGATCTGTATACACACACACATACACACACGCATACACACACACACACACACACACACACACACACACACACACACACACACACACACACACACACACACACACACACACATATATATATATATATATAAATATATATATATATATATATATATATATATATATATATATATATATGTGTGTGTGTGTGTGTGTGTGTGTATGTATATATGCATATATACATATGTATTCATATATTATATACCTATATCTACACACACACACACACACATACATACATACATACATACACACACACACACACACACACACACACACACACACACACACACACACACACACACACACACACACACACACACACACACATATATATATATATATATATATATATATATATATACATATATATATATATATATATATATATATATATATATATATATATATATATGCATATATGTATAT